TGAATTCATCCTCTGCACTTCAATAACTGTCTGGTTCAGCTCAGCTACCAAATCTGACCTCAGAAGACTACGTAGGATAGTCCGGACTGCTGAGCGAATCACTGGTACAACCCTCCCTACTCTCCAAGAACTGTACTCATGCAGAGTGAGCAAAAGGGCTGGCAAAATCACTCTGGACCCCTCACATCCAGCACACTCCCTCTTTGAACTGTTGCCATCTGGTCGACGCTACAGAGTACTGCGCACCAGAACAGCCAGGCACAGAAACAGTTTCTTATAAATTGTGTTTTTGCTATTTTGTACATTGTCTATTTTGTATATTTGTATATTATTCTTTTTATTATTTATGTCCTGTCTTGTCACTGTCATTCTGTGGAGCTTCTGTCACTAAAACAAATTCCTCGTATGTGGCAATAAAGCTCATTCTGATTCTGATTCTGATTCTGATATGTCTTTACATTTTATTGGTTTTAATTATCAACATGATCTCATAGCTAATTATGGATATTTGTACATTAAGTAGTAAACATGTTATTCATATATTGAAAGCATTAATGTAAACATTTTAAGTATGATGTTTCATTCTGTTTTGAAGGATTCCATAATTTTGAATGGAAATACAGCAATAATTTAATCATTACTTATCAAGATGCCTTCAAAGTAGATACCAATGATGATCATAACCAATGGCCATCACATATGCGGACTGATATCTAAAAGTTTTTTTTATTTTTATTCTTTTCACATTTAGATATAAAAATTGAATAAAACGTCAACAATAAAAACAGCTAGCTAGTTTAACTGATTATCTTAAAAGTCCATAGATATCGCTATTATTTAATACGGCTGTTAACACGTTCTCCGACAAGCGGAAGCAATGACACCTTTTTTCCGGGTTTGTTCAGGTGATGTTCGACATATACCCTATTAGCTAGCCAGTTACCATCAGCTAAAAAAAAATCAAATAGGCTATAATATTCTCATTTTGTAATTCATAATTATTGATTATATTCTCTTTCATTTTAAGCTAAAACTGCCTGTACTCTGATTTTGCTGTAAATGTATAAAGCAAATTACTTTGTCAGACTGGGGTCATTTTACCACACTTATCTGTACCCCCT